GCGTAATATTCATAATAATTACAATAATGAATTATTTTTAATATTTTCTGCTGCTGGTTGCTGTTGTTGTTTGCCGTTTTAATATCTTTTCCACTGTTTTAAATAAACATATGCGCTGAGTTAAAAGCGCATGGGGCGGTTAGCTGCCAGGCGAGAGTTCGCTTGGTTGCTTGTTTAAAGTTTCATCCGCGTGTCTGCTGGTTAGTAGCTTTTCTCGAGCGTTTAGTGGCGCACTTGGCCAACGGATAACAGCGGTTCCGAAAATTAAAAGAGAAATAATATCGGAAAGTTTGTGATGTTCAAAACATCATCGCCTTTATTTTTTTGCTTTTCGAGTGAATAGGAAGTCCGCGCCTGTGTTTATCCTTTCGTTGTTTTGGTATTTGAATGCCTCAGCAGCGGCGTAACGGTTTCAGTCCTAAAATTCGTGCCTTCGTTTGCTTGCCATTTGTACGTGGTCGCTTGGGGCGTGGCAAAAATGTGTTAAACAAGTTGCTTTTAATTCAAGAATTTATATTATGTGGTCTATGCGAGACGACAGAGAAGTCTGAGGTGGGTCTATAAAATCTATGTGCTTTCGGTACGTGTTGATTCAATAAGCCAATATGGAGGGTATCATTATTTAGCTTACATATTTGCGTCTAATAAGGGTTGTCATTTGGAAATTGTACAAAATTTGTACGTAAACTTGCGTTCACGAAAAAAAAGCGTTGAAAAAACCTTGATGGAAAAAATATCTTCTGATATGAGGCTCATTTCTGACTTAATGGCTTCGTCAACAAAAAAAAAAAAAAAAATGTCGCTATTACGATATTAAATCGTGTGGTTCAGGGAACTCAATTGCATCTTGAAAAATTAACGGTGTGGTGCGGATTGTGGTATGGTGTCATCAATGGCCCTTTTTTCTTTCGAAGTATTTCACGTCTAAACAACATTAACAGGCTTCGTACAAAGTTTGACGACGCGGTAATTTCGAGAAATGGTCCAGTCAAATGAGAGCCCGGTCATCGTAAATTAACTGACATTTTGTTGAAATCCGAAATGCTTTAATATATGTAGCCGAAATCAGTGGTAACTCTTTATTCAGTTACTCACACTGGGTGGTTCTAAACCGGGCTAAGACAAAGTTGAGGGTCAATTTTAGATTCCGTTTATATAAGTTTGTTTGTACATTAATCTAGCGTTAGCCCGTTAGTGGTTTTAAGGCTCTTAGGTTATTAGTCAGAACACAAACCACAACTTGCCAATGACAGGCTTGAGACGGGTTGAGCGCTGTGTTATAGGTGTCATTTACGATATGTAATTGTGAAGCAGAAGTGAGTTCAGCTTTTTTTATAAATAAATACCTTTTTCTTTCAATTCTTAAGCAATAAAAATAAACAGGTTTCTGTGTGTATCGAAAGCCACCAAATGTTTATGCTATCAGTATTATTTTGGTGCGCTGCGAGTCTGTAAATATCATCATATATCTACAGGCACTTGAAGCAAAGAAACTCTATAGAAATGTGTATATAATTTTATGGAGTACCGCCACCGTCACCACCACTGGGTGTTGTGTACAAACCGCCGAGTGCTTCTGCGTCACTGTTGATGTTTGATTTAGAATATATGCGCGGAGTACGAGGAGTGTGGGGCATGGAAATGTGCTTCGCAAAACAAGAACCGTGAGTCTGTTTACGCAGACTACGCTCGCCAACAGAGTGGCATGAGACAGACGCTGTAGAATTTCCAAGCTTCTTGAGATCATGTGAAATGAGAAATTGTCACAGGCTGTTGTTGTAGAGTTTTTTTCAAAGGCGAGAGCGTTTGTCGCGCTGTGTTGACGAAAGTGCGCTGTGCGCTTAGGCCGGGTATTTACAGCTGAAATGTGAATGCCAATCAACTGGCACGTATATTATATATTAAGCAGCATATTTTATTTACTCCTCTATTTATTTGCACAACACAACACAACATAAACAAGCACTAATTTGTTTCATTTCTACTCATTCTCGTTTCAGGTAAATATGAAAATCCTTGACGGCTTATTGCGTAAATTGGCGCTGCCCAAACTTCTGCCACAACACTTGCGTAAGTACACTGACCGCCTCACTGGCTGTATGCGCCTGTGCACCGTCGCCCGACGCCTGGGCGCGCAAGCATTTGCACACATTACCGTCAATTTAGCTTACTGCTATTTTTAACGATGTGGCGCGTTGAACATTTTTGCCTATCTGTTGCAAACTCTCGCCACAATTGGAGTCAATTTGCACAATTCATTGGCGCCAGCAGCAAAAGTATATATCGACGATGCGTTGTTGTTGCGGCCCGACTGTTATCAATTTGTGCACGCTTTGATGGTGTGGCAGTTCATGCGTTTCGGTGCTGCCAACCCATTTCACGGCGTTCCCAGTCGCGACGTGTTCGCACAAAGCCAATACATCCACTAATTTAATGAATTTAATGGACGGTGAAAAAACGCTAAACATTGGGTATAGAAATGAGAGTAGTCTATTTTTATGCCGATTACGATCAGGCCCTCAAGTCGTGATATTTAAAAAAAATAATAATAATAATAAGCGAGCTGTTAGGTGGTGGCCAATAGCCTTTTCGCAAAGATATAGTACATTAAGAGTATAGTTGAGAAATCTGTTGTTTTTGCAAAGCCGCCAGCTCAGCGATTAATGATAGGGTCGCTTAACGATGTTCTTCATTTTGTGTTTGTTCTAATGATTAAAATTCATCAGCTAACTGCTATTTATCCAGGCACACAACCAAATCCATAGCCTGGATTTGAACCTTCAGAGACGCTTTCCAGTTTCAACTCGATTTAACCTTGATTATGAATTGTGGCTGTAAATTAAAATTTTTATTTAGTATTTAATCGATCTAAATAAGAGCTTTAACCGAGCAAAGCCCAGTTAATTGATCAACGAAATCTTGTGCGAAAAGTCTATTAAAAGTATCTGTTACATCCGGATTGTAGAATGTGTTCACTAATATTTGTTTAATCTAGACATCATTACTATAATCTTCACACACTAGAATTGTTTGCTATGATTCGCGGTCGGAATACGACATTAGAATGCTCAATTAGAGAAAGTACGTGCTCAGTTTATTGTAAGTAGCGCATATAGTTGACAGCTAGTGCGGCGCTAAATCCTCGCATATAAAAGCGCTGCAGAGCACGAGGCAGCTTTTACTTTAGAAATATCATCGCCACCTGACTAAGTCTCCAGCAATCAGGTCAATTTAATAAACGCGACTCTTAATCATTGCAGTCTTTACATTCTGCCTGCTTACAGCACCCAATCCCAAACTAATCAAGACTAATCTGTATGAGTGTGCTTTTTCATTTGCATAAATTTACAAAGTTGTTGTGACAAGTTGTTTACAGCTACCGGCGCGAGCGCTAGTCGACCGTTGCTCAAGTGTCAAAAGTGCAGTAGGCGCCTGTCGCGCCCGTAAGCGGCCTAGTGCCGCGCGATCTGCATGCGGCTACAGGCTACAGCTGCATGCGCAGGCAACACCTCACCTCGATGATCTGTGAGAGTGGACTGCTGTTGTTGGTTGCATATTTGACTGGCGCGTTTGCTGTTGCATGCCAACTGATTGGCTAATTGATTATTGGCTCTCTTTATTTCTGTTACCAGGTGGGAGGCGACACATAAAGCGACAGGTGGTCGCGCTTAGCTCTTTGCAAAGGACGCTTGGAATTCCGTAATTTTCGCGAAGACTGGACGGTTCACGCAGGCATTGAACATCTCAGCGTTGCATTGCTCACGTACGTCAATTGGCAACAGTATCGTGTTCCTTCCGCAGTAGATGAGAATTCGATATGATGCGCTCACTTGGTGCGCGCTGTTCGATGACGTGGGCGCTTAAGGCGTTGGCCTTGTTGTGGCACACAGGTTCACTTGTTGAAAACTAATACATATAAATGTAGAAAATGTCTATGAGCGCACACTCTATACAAGATCTATTAGTAATGACGGCGCTTTTCTTAATTAAAATAAATGAAGTGGCGGCGGCCTGGTCACGTATTGTTGCGGTGACTTTTATGTGGGTAGATGAGCGATAACAACGCGCTACAGCGGTAATTAGCACAAGCTTTAGCTTGCAAACGCGCTTGGAGTACGTGCCGACGCTTATACTGCTGATTTTTCTTTAATTTTCACTTTTTTTTTAATTTTGAATTTTGCAAAGACGCTGTGGCGACCGCTAATTGTTATTGACGTCAGCGTGCGCGTACAAATACACATTGTGCGTTTATCAGCGCAGCCACTATGTGGTTGCTGTTGTAGATATTATGTTTGCGCTCGTGTTTTGCATGACTGCTGGAGCGTAGCGTGCAAATCGTAGCGTCGCGCTTTGTTTACCCATGGATTACGTAGTCTCCTCGTTCACACTCTCGTTCAGTTGCAGCTGGCCTCGGCCTGATAGCGCCATCGCATTTGTTTTGGCAATTAACATGGTTGCACACACGCGCACTGCAGACACACAGACTTCATATGCACTTAAGCAATTATCGGGTTGGAAAATACGCAGCAAAGTAACGCGCGTAGATACAATCAAATACTAAAATACTTCAAAACTACAAATTTTGGAGAAGTAATATAACGCCAATACATATTTATCGATGCGAGTTGTAAGGAAATATGGTAGTTTCGATATGTACAAGTTGATTTGCTAAGATTTGGTCGCGTGCGCGTGGCTGACTTAATTACCAAACATGCAGATGACGGCCCAGCAGAAGCGAGCTACACATTAAGTTGTTATGGCCAAAATTATCAGGCGCTTACGTATACGGTGGGGAGTTTTGCTGCCGCAGATAAGCGATCTGCGCCTATTTGTCAGCGCTTTTAAGCAGCTGAGTGATGTATGGCGTGTTTGACACGCCTCGGTATGCGCATAGCAAGTAAGACATTCTGCCACACCGAAGCGTGCTCGGCTCCCCATCTCACCTTCGTAGAGTTAATGCGCATTTGCTAAGTTTAATCGTGGTTTTTTCTCATTGACAGCCTTCTGGTTGGCGCAAGCTTCGCAACATTGTGCAATGGACGCCATTTTTTCAAACCTACAAGAAACAGCGCTATCCCTGGGTCCAACTGGCCGGTCATCAAGGCAATTTCAAGGCCGGTCCCGAACAGGGCACCGTCCTAAAGAAGCTCTGTCCAAAGGAGGAGGACTGTTTTCGTGTGCTCATGAAGGACGTCTTGCGCCCCTATGTACCGCAATATAAGGGGCAAGTGACCAGCGAGGATGGTGAATGTAAGTACAGAATGTATAAATGATCCGTAAAAACAATTGTTAACTGTTATATAAATTCAATTGAATTTCAATTTGGGCACTCGTTGGTCTAATGGAGAATAAAACTCTCTCGTTTACAGTGTACTTGCAACTGCAGGACTTGCTGAGCGATTTCAATCAGCCCTGTGTTATGGACTGCAAGGTCGGTGTGCGCACTTATCTCGAGGAAGAGCTTTCCAAGGCCAAGGAGAAGCCGAAGCTGCGCAAGGATATGTATGAGAAAATGATACAGATTGATCCGGATGCACCCAGTGAGGAGGAGCACAAGGCGAAGGGTGTGACCAAGCCACGTTATATGGTTTGGCGCGAGACAATCTCCAGCACAGCGACACTGGGCTTTCGCATTGAGGTGAGAGCGACCGCTACAGCGCTAAACATACTCACGAGTACTAAAATAGACAATTTTCTTTTGCAGGGCATTAAAAAAAGCGATGGCACTAGCACCAAGGATTTCAAGACCACGAAGTCCCGCCAGCAAATCAAACAAGCCTTCCGCGAGTTCGTCAATGGCTTTCCACATGCTATGGTGAGTGTTGTCAACAAAAATGGCCGAAAAGCTATCCGAATCTAATCTAATTGGGTCGTAGTATAAGTGATCATGAGCACCGATATCTTTTTCATTATGAGTGAATTAGTTTTATATTGGACTTGTGAAGAATACATGCATAACATTGTCCTTAATCTTTTGTGCCTTACAGCCCCGTTACATACATCGTCTGCAGGCGATTCGCGCCACACTCGAATGCTCCGACTTCTTTCAGACACACGAAGTTATAGGCAGTTCGCTACTATTCGTTCACGATCGTTATCACGCCAGCGTGTGGCTAATTGATTTTGCCAAGACCGTCGGCTTGCCCGAAAATCAAAAAATCGACCACAGAAGCACCTGGACGGTGGGCAACCATGAGGACGGCTATTTGATTGGCATCAATAATTTAATCGACATTTTCACCGAACTCGATGCAGAAATTGCCGTTGAAACTTCGCTAACGCCATCTTCGGCCTCTTCGTCGGCTTCGTTGTCGCCGAAACGCAATTTGAGCGAATCGGCACTCGATGACACAGCGTCCGGCAGCATGATGAGAGAAGGAGAAGTGGTCTTGGAGACGATTAAGCCAGCAAAGGTGGCTACAGTCGCCGGCACTCAGCCAACGCACAGTCCCATCGAAACCGGCTCAGCAGCGGAGCAGCCGTCTACCAGCCTTTGCGCCTTTGCAGCAACAACGGAGGAGAAAGAGTCAGTGGATGGCTCCCAGGAGGAGCGTTAAGCCAGCGTTCTTGATGCTGTACGGCTTTTGAAAGCATTGCAGATTTTGATGAAAAGTCGAAGGCCGCTCGATGACTTCACTTTGACCATTCGCTAGGGCTCGCAGAACCCCGTGAATATGAAGGATAATAATGAAATAATAGATTTAGATGGAAATTGAATTACTCGTAAGCACGCAAGACTGAACACATAGTAATTTATTGAGTTACATACATACATGCATGTATTTTATATGAGCCTACACACAAACATACAAACCTATGTACCACTAAGTAAATAAGCAGAAATTACAAAATATCTAAGTTTAAGAAGAAGCTACATTTAGCGGAAACGAGAGAGCGGAATAAGGATGGGCGCTAGACAACAGAACAACCGACACTGCTCAACGCGAGTGCCCAGCACGAGCGCGAGCCTTGGAGATTTCGCGGCTTCGACAGTAGATAATTAGAGCTATTGCACTATTTAAGTTTAACGGTGTATGCAACACACACTTCAAGCGGCTTGAAGTGGCAAAATGTGTTGCGATAGTTATGTAACTGTATTATCATATCCTGTTAGCAACAAATTGAGGCGGCGCACAGCGTTCGATCACTCCAAACGATTATTGTTTGTATTTGTATTTTATTATTTTCAAATGTCACACGCAACATTAGCCACATCAATACACACACACACATACACCTACATATGTACGCACACAATCACTGTTGTTGTGTTTAAGAAATAACTTTAAAACTTCTTAACGAGGCAATACTTTCAATAAAAAGCTTGCAATACAACAAAAGCTTGTATTTCAACAAATAACCGCAATTAAAGCCAGCGTTGGGTTGCATTTCCGGTAAGTAATGTGTTATGCCCGACTTCTCCATTTCCACTTACCATATTCAGATACCACTTGGCTTGCCTACCGCCAATAGCTGTTCTTGTGTGGGAAAACAGTGTCAAACCCTTTTTAAAACAAATATACAAAAAATTTACGAAATCGTTTTTGAATAAATCCAATTCCAAAAAATTTATGCGGTGCTTAAAGAGGCTGCTGAAAAATCAAAATTGACTGGAAAATTTACCAATATCGAGAAGTTTTGCACTTGGAGTAGATAGCAAAAGACCTGGAAATCTTCCCTCCACCTTATTTCACAACACTCATCTAAGAAAAAATGACGTTTTAAGCATTATTTCGCAAAAAACCGTCGATTTGCGACACATTTTTAATTCTCAAAAATCGGGGGTTATATCAAATTCGAATTTTCTTTAATAGGATTGTAGCCCATGCGATTCTGCAAATTTCCACATTTTTAGATTTTCTCTACGACCTCTAGTTTAGAAGTTATAAGCGTTTTTCTATTCTGCAGTTGCTTGCTTCATGCTTCTGGTCGCCTGGTAGAAATCCAGGATTTTTGTGCCAAATTGAAATGCATTTTTTTGCAGCCGGCAGCGGCAGCGGCAGAGGAGGCACCCAAAAACTCGCCGGTTGCCGTTGCATAAGCAAAGGGGCAAATTTGAAATGGTGGAAGGGGTCAAACAGGATGCATGCGGGACCGGATATGGGCATATGGCGGAACCGGAAATGAGAAATAACGTTAGCCGACTTCCGGTTTAGGGATGAAACAGGAAGTTGTGAACCGGAAACGGAAGCGATAAACCGGAAATGGGAAATTCGACACTTCCGTTTCCGGTTTGTGACTTCCGGTTTCGTCCCTAAACCGGAAGTCGGGAACAAATTTCCGGTTCCGCCATATATCCATATCCGGTCCCGCACACATCCTGTTTTGCCGCTTCCGCCATTTCAAATTTGCCCCTTTGCTTATGCAACGGCAACCGGCAAWTTTTCGGGTGCCTCCTCTGCCGCTGCCGCTGCCGGCTGCAGAAAAATTGCATTTCAATTTGGCACAAAAATCCTGGATTTCTACCAGGCGACCAGAAGCATGAAGCAAGCAACTGCAGAATAGAAAAACGCTTATAACTTCTAAACTAGAGGTCGTAGAGAAAATCTAAAAATGTGGAAATTTGCAGAATCGCATGGGCTACAATCCTATTTAAGAAAATTCGAATTTGTTATAACCCACGATTTTTGAGAATTAAAAATGTGTCGCAAATCGACGGTTTTTTGCGATATAATGCTTAAAACGTAATTTTTTCTTAGAGAAGTGTTGTGAAATAAGGTGGGGGGAAGATTTCCAGGTCTTTTGCTATCTACTCCAAGTGCAAAACTTATCGATATCGCACATTTTTTCAATGAAATTTTCAAATTTAAAACTTAACTACTTACGGACACCTGTTCAATATTTAAGGCTCATTTTCATGTTTTTTGGCAATAGAATCTCTTCAAAAAGGCAAAGAGCAGAGTTCGACATTATTTTCTTGCATGAAAAACATCTAAAATCTGATTTTTAAAGAGTGAATACTTAGAATATAAAAATTTCGATTGAACTGTTTTAATTGGCCAATTGGTGAATGAAAAGCAGCTTCGTATTTATTTTCAAACATTCTTTCGTTTATTTTAGTCGTTCATTTTTATAATAATTCATATTAACATTTTAATATTAATAATTTATTGACTTATTAACGCTTTATACAATTATTTGCCATACACATTATGATAATTACCTTTTTTTGTTTATTTCTTAAATTTTTTTCTCGATTTACATACAAATATAAGTAGAAAAATTATTATTACATAGAAATGTTTTAGTGCGTTAGTTAGTATTCATTAATATTAGACTGGCTTTGCTGTTTTACTTCCACTTCGAGAACCGGAAATTAAAGAAACTATTTGAGCATTGAATTCGAAATAAGACTGGTTTCGCTGGCAGCGCATCCGTGCTCAACACACTGGGTAACTGGAAGGCGACGCGCCCGCTTGCCTGCGCTAACTTTAATAACGGTATGCTTCGTTACGAGCCAAGTGCTGGCGTTAGTTGTGAGTCTGTCTGCTTAGATTTGCTACAATTTTACTTTAATTGCTACTGAAAAAATCTCCGGAAGGGCAGTTTCTGAGTGTGTAGTCGACTTTTTGGTGTTTGGAATTTCGCATTCGCATTCGCATTCGCATTCTTCATCTGCTTCTGCTTCCTCTTCGATTTAAAAATTATTAAACTTATGCATAAGAAATTATTGCAAAATATTATATATGACACATTATTTGATTACAGTTAACTTTGTTGTAAAGTCATTAGTGCGCTTAAGTTAAGATTTATTACAAAACGAGTATAGAGCGAACGCAGCAAACCGATTGGTGGGCACTCGGCATGCGTGCATGGTTCGTGCCAACTGCATTTTGGCGTCCGGATCCATCCGTTTGCTGGTTCGTGTGAGTGTGTGATTTGTTGTTGTAACTTAAGAACAATTCGTATTTATAAAAAGATATGTTTATTATATATAACGGTAAAAGCTACGCTCAAACGACCGGTGGTTCGGTGCCATCGTCGGTTCTGTTATCGGACGAAAAAGAAAACAACCAAAAGAAAAAGGTGAGAAAATTTGAAAAAGGCAGTAAAACGTAATTATGAAAAATAGAATTAAATTAAAAAAATTAAAATTAAATTGACAAAAAATAACACTAATTTGGCAATCAATTATATTCCATACTTATATCAATAATAATGGGAGCGGATCGGTACTCGGTAAGGGAAGAAGATGAGGTGGAAACAACCCAACTCTTCTTTCTTGACTGTCCTGCATTAAGACTTAAGCACTTGGGTGCGCATACCTTCGGACATCGCACCGAACTGGCGGGAGTGGAAATTACACGCCTGTGCGAGCTTGCTAATATGTAAGTCCATTAAGTCTACAGGCATTTGGGAAAGTATCAACCTGATTTCCTCTATTGTGGGCAAGATGAAACACAGCGGTTGGAAATAGATTGTTTCGAAGTTCATTAGGTTTCTCTTTATAATATCTCCATATATCCGAAAATTCAAAAGCATATATATTAGATATTTGGGGTCTAAGGGAACTATCGAATGGATTTTATTCAGATTTTAATTTTAAGCCTCACAGATTGAACAATACGTTTCGTAACAACCAGGCCAGTTGCACTGGGACGCACATATTTGGTGTCTAGGTGCTTGAAAACTTAAACTGACTACTTCATTGATGTTTAATTTATACACTGTAATGTGAAAGAATCAATTGGAATTAAAGAGTTGGTTATATGGGAAGGTGGTTGTCATGGATTTCGCTCATAACATAGGAATGCTTGGATAACATAAGTCACCAAATTTGCTTGAACTTGCACAAGTAGTTTTTGAGATATGGGCATTCAGGAAAAGGCAGGCGGTGGCACGTTCCCTGTCCAGTTTTGATTCTTGCTTCCATTCTGGTTGTGAAATCTGATGCCTGTGGCGAATTTATTCAGTGAGCTTACCGCGCGGACGGACGGATGGACAAACAGACAGTTACTCGAAATTCAACTTGCTTCGTTATCCTGATCATTTGTACACATCTTTATCGTCATATTTAAAAAAATTACGTCTCTCGTTGTTTATCCGTGATGGACTCCTACACTACTGAACCGATTTAGTAAAATTTAGCACACTGTGTCCAGTTTGAACCAACTTAGAAGATAGCATAATAAAAATAATCCAAATATATTTTTACAGTGAAAACTCTATTAAATGGACGTTGTGTTAAGCGGACAATTCTATTCACTGGACAGAAAGGCTGGTAAGCAGACATTGAGGAAGCAGCCCTAGAGTGTATATATTCATCTCAATTAGTTGTTGAGGTTGCAAACAAACGTTCGATGAACAAAACTCTTCTGCTCTGTGCAACATGTGGCGAGTGTATAATAACATCAATTCCCGGTAATATTTGAAAAATACATAACTAAAATAATTATATTACTATAAGGGGATTATTAAATAAATTGTAATAATAATAAAAAAAATTAATAATAATATTTATTACAATAATCATCATCGTAATAATAATAATAAAAAAATAAAATAAAATATAATAAAAAGCATTACTAATTTCAATACATGTTGAAAATTAATATTTTTTTGCTCTTATCATTCGCTTTCAGACACAACAATTTTCTAATTACTTTCAAAGAATAAGTGAAAAATAACCTCAACGGGCCTAAAGGGCCTTGTCTAAAGCCCACTTTTCGCCTAACTAATTAACCATAGCTTGCGCAATTTCACAAAATGCTTCTTATTGATCTGTTTCACAGCGCGTACTCAAATGGTAATGCTTTCAAACTAATTACAATATTTTGCTAATGCAATAATTAACTACAACACATACATACATATACTATATATTTCTCATTTTCATTTTTCATACTTTTTAAGCTATATTTATGCATATATATATATATATATATAGGTACATATAATATTTATATACATATATTATCAATACTCTTCTGTATATTTTTTCCTATTACTGTATATTTTAATTAAATTTGCATAGTAAATTACGCTATATTTTATTATTACCGTTGTACGTTAATTTCAAGCTATTTTTTGAGCAACTTCGAACTGCTAAATATCTTCAAAGCATTTTCGAGAAGCCTAAAAGCATCTTTTCTGTCGACTTGTTGACTTGTCGATTTGTAAATATTAAATACGTCGTCAATATTTTTTTCTAATATATATACATATTTATAAATGTTTGTATTTTTTATTTACTTTTAATTGACTTTTGATGTGCATTTTGATATTTTACAAAAAAGAAAGAGAAAAAATTATAAAATACAAAAAATCGAAACAGTAGTGAGACATGTTTTTTTATTAAAAAAAATCCAAATATTTTCACATTTTATATTGGGTAGTCGAA